GGTCACATTAGAAACTCAACTTTTGTTTGCAGTAAAGTAACTTTCTGGCCAACTTGCTTGGTAAAATGGCTTGGAAGTGACCCCCATGCACACACAGCCCCCCAAACTCAAAAAGTTATGATCCTAGAACTGACTACATATGAGTATAAGCCACATTTCTCTGTTCCCAAGCCAGCATTTCTACTGGGGCAGCCCTGGATCTTGCAATACAGGCACGGCTGATGACGGCAAATCCTGATGCAGAAGTCCTTCATGTGAAGTCCCCATCAGGTTTTGGTTTCCCAAAGGAAGAGCAGCAATGTTGCAGGGCTGGCACAGTTATCAAGGGCAGGAACAAGGCAAAATCTCACCTGCTGATGCACCCAAAGGCTTTTGGCCACCAAGTCAAGCCCCAATCCCCTCAAGTCCATGGCAGAACATAAGAGGAAAAGAGTGAATTTACTCAAGGCAAATGTAACTCCATAGCATGTGTTAACTTTGCATAAAATGCAAAGCATAAAATGTGTATGGCGTTGTAACATCTACTGATGTGTGCTGGCATTACTTCTGTCCATGTTTCTCTGTGTCCATCTGGCTATATTATCCTGAAGGGTTGGTGAGTTTCCTAGGGGACGCTGCTGGAAGACAGGAATTATGCAAAACGCATCACTCCAGCCTTTGCTCCTGGTAGCGAGCCCATGAGCAACTCAACAAATGTCCTCGATGCCAGCAAGGGATTAGAAACGGGATGTTGAGACTAGGGTACAGATTGTCTGACAGCCTTCCCCACCACAGCAAGGATTTTAGGAGCCAACAGCCTCGGCTGGTGTAGGGCAGCAGCAGGGTTAGGTTAGAGGTTGGACTCGATGATCTTGAGGTCTCTTCCAGCCTAGAAATTCTGTGATTCTGTGATTCTGTAACACTTCTGCATCCCATTTTGCCTCCCTGCAGGCAGCTTGAGCCCTATGGCTCAGCACCCACCGCAGAGGTGCAGAGCCGTGCAGCTCCCCCCAGCTCTTGCACCCACTGATCTGCTTCAGAAGGTGATGACAGACCGTGATGTCCCAGCAGAAATGCACCCACTGTGCCAGCGTGTCATTCTGGAAAATGCAGGCAGAGCAACGTGCCACCAGCAGGGGACAGAGCCTGCGGGCTGCTGCCCAGGTGCCCTTTGAGAACACCTCCCCTGTTCCTTCCCTGGGGCGCAACAGCCCACGCAGCCGCCCCGGCACTTCCAGGAATCTCAAATGCAGTGTTTTAGGTTTTTTTTTCTTTTCATTTTTTAAGCATCTTTAACACAGAAACGCATTCTGAAAGCAAACCCTTTTGTGAAAAGGCCACTTTCGATATTAATTGCTTTGCCTTCATAGAAGCTGGTAAACTGTATTTTTAGCAGCCACTTCCCACTAAGTAGCATTGTTACAGAAAACCACTCGATTCACTGTAACTAAAAATGTCTCCTTTTTGAGCTTAACAATAGCGCTAAAGAAACTGATAAACACGTTTTTTGGTGGATGAGAAGTCAAATGATTCAATTTGCTTCAATGTCTTTTTTTCTGTCGAGCTAAAGATTGTACCTAACAGTAGACAAAAGCAATCTCGGGTCAAGTTTGTTTATAAAGGCTCATGCTCACGCCGTTCTCTCCCCTCAACATACTGCCATCCTGTGATGCTGTGTGGAGTTATTGAGACATTTCATTGGGTCCACAGAGGATGACACAATCCGTCCGGTCTACCAGTAGAGCATATTACCCCCCTGCATTGACAGGAACCCAATTTCAGCTGTCTGAAACTACACAAAGATATCATTTTGCAATATTGCCTGCTTTCTGCTGCCCAGAGATAGACCACGCTGAGCCTCAAGCTTGAAACAATCCGGGAGTATCTTGTGCACAGGCTGCAAAAGTTAGCTGAATAACAATACAGCTAGCTCAGTGGGGTTTCATAGCCACAATTTAAATCTAAATTGGCTTGCTCTTCATAGAGAAACTACGCTTCCTTAGGACTGGCAATAAAGACTGCCTGAGCTGATCTGACAAATCAGCCTTTTACTCCAAAATCTTAGATTATAGGCTGTGATATTTTTGTTCAAAAGCAACGGAAAGAATAATCTGTTCAGCATTCTCCTGCGCTCAGCTAAAATACACTTAATTGCATCAGGCATTACCAAACATTTTTCAAGCCCAGAAAATAATAACATGCCTGACATTATGGTAACACAAACCACAAGAAGCACTGCAGCGGATTGGATTTAAAGCCCAGCACTGCAGACACTCGCAGCTAAGGTTTAAGATCTCACCTTAGCTCACCCTCCCGTGCTCAGGCGCTCGGAAGAGCTGCTGGTTGCAGTCCCACACGCTGTACTCCAAATGCATAATCCAGCCAGCTGCCCTTGGAGCAGCTGGTAAAGCAACTAGCGTTTGGCCCACAGCATGCACCATCTCATGCTCTCTTGAAGACCTCTTTAGCTCCTAGCGATTTCAGGGTGAGGTAATGGCAGATTTTTGGCATTCACTCCGCATTGCCTTGATTCTGTACAATGCATTGTGTCAGTGCAATGGATCCGAGCCTAGCTGGGGACTCATTAATCCACAGATTTCATTTCTAAACACACAGTTTTCTGAAACAATAATGCGCATTAACTCCTCCAGAGTTGCTAAAGTCTGCTGCAAATCAAAACCTGGTTGGGCACCCCTGGCTGAAGTCAGATAATCTGGTGACTGTAGCAGCTTGGGCTGTGCCAAACCAGCTACCAGGCATTAGCAGTGAGACCCCTACTTCACACTATTACAGCAATTTTATGGAAATTCAGACAGCGCCTTTGCTTTACAAAACAAAAATCAGATGTCTATTATTATTTTTTTTTCCCTCTGAAAATACATGCAGGCACTAATCCTGGAATAATAGAATCATAAAACATCAGCCTAGAAAAATGCAGCGACTGGGACGATCCAGCGGGCTGTCCGCAGGAGAAGGCTTTGTTTCCACGGCTCACTTTGCTGAACTCCACTTGCAGGCGCACTGACTACTCCCTCCTGCAGATTAACTTTTCCTCTGCAAGTGAACGGACTGGAGGACGGTTTCTGGCTCACCCCACTGACTGGGGGACAGGCTGTAACAGGGTGATGTTCTCCCCCAGCCTTGCTCCAGGGCAATGTCCCGAGCTGGGGGACGGAGGTGGGTATGGAGAGGTGTCAAGGGGCAACTGTCACATAGTCATGCGCTCTCAGGCAGCCCTGATAATGCCATCCTGACCCTGGTTTCCACCCTGGAGGAGGTCTGTGCTCAGCCTCTGGTGGCCTTTTCCCACAGGGCCTCCTTCCACGACCCGGTGCCGCTGGTCCCGGCTCTCCCACTGCCTCATGCTTTCCCTCCCCATTCAATGCACACGCTTGCTTGCCAGCCCCAGCCTCCTCTCAAATGCACTCCCAAAGAAAGGAGCCCGGGTAAGCAGATGTTTTTCTTCTCTTCCTCATGTTACAGCCAGAGCTCTGTCGCCTGTGGTGGGCTCCGTGTAGGCAGAGCTGCCGGCAGCTGCGAGGCAGATCCAGTTTGGGCACGTTTCAGCCTCTTTTGGCTGGAGGCCACGCAAAAGCGTGGTGGAAGAACATGCCCAGAAGAGCTGAGTGTCCATCAGCTCTCTCTGCCGGGAGAGATACTGGACCCGATGATCTCTTGAGGTCCCTTCCAACCCCTACCATTCTGTGAGATCCTCACATGGGGTCACGCGTGGGATGGAAAGCATTCCCCCCTCCGGTGAGAGGGAGGCACCTCGCTGAGATAGGGCCTCACCTGAAGGAAGTCATTAGCTGCCCTTATCTCCCATCCGTTAACTCAAATCACTCATCCATAAATACCTGAAATTAAAGGGGTGCATTTTCTGGGCAGATGGACCCTGAATGTGTGAATTTGGAGCTATGCGACCGACCTTTTACCCGCTGAAGCCGACAGCGAGCGCCTCCTTTGACCCCGCGGCACAAGATCGGGTCAGGCAGAGCTCAGAGATCATTGCACCCGGCCACAAATAAGGACACAGGGGCTCAGCAGGAAGGAAGGGAGATCCTCCTAGAGTTTCTGCTCAGCACTTTGTCATAGCATGTGTTATTCAAGACACTGGGGGGAAAAAAAAAAAAGGAAGGCAGCGGGCCTGGGAGCTGAGACAGAGGGGCGTGTGGTGGGCCTTTTTATTTTTTCCTCTTAACAGACTGAGATAAATGTAGCAATCCAAAAAAGTGGAGGTGGGAAGGACGTGTGTGTGCATGTGCCTTTTATCAACGAGAGGATCATTGGATGTATCTGTTACCAAGGAGAAGCACACGCTTGGTAACAGAAGAGCACAAAATTATTTTCCTCTCGCGTTCCTGGATGATAATAATCACTAACATTACCATTTTTTGTCCCGATGAAATTCAGAGCCCTAACTCGAAATTTCACTCCACGACAAACTTACTGGAAGGGGAAAGAAAAAAGAGCCAGGAGTGCAGGAACGCATAGTACGAAGATGCAGCCGTACCGACAGCTTATTTAGGGTGCTGGAGGGAATTGCCGGAGGTGCTTGGTCCTGGCAGTGCAGGGAGCTTGCAGTAGCAGTAAGGTGTCCTGCGTTAGGCAGAGCTTTGTTACCTGGTCTGATCCGACAGGGCAGCTCTAACGGGAGCAGGATAACTCCTCCGTGGGTCCCGAGCTGGGTGGACCAAACTAAAGCACCCGCTGCTCTCTATCGCGGGGTGCCACATCCTGAGCGATGGGCAGGAGGCTCCACTAAGGGGCTGGGGAGAAGAGGCGAGGAGCAGAGCCCCTCGGCGGACTTTTCCTACTAATACCCGAGGAGGGGGAGGATAAAGAAAAAGGAGGGGAAGGTTTTACCCTGCCGGCACTCAAAGCGAGCAAACCCGGAGGGGGGAAAGGGTCGGTGCGCCTTCAGCGGAGCATCCCCGGGGGGCAGCAGCGCGCCCCGCCGCCCTCCCCGCGCCGCTCCCCGCCGTGCCCAGCCCTCCCCGGCCGGGCGGCCGGCTGGCTACCTTCTCTCCGGTGAGCACATGCAGCCCCTCTCGGACCTTGGCGAAGGAGCCCTCGCCCAGCTTCCTGCCGATCAGGTAGCCTCCGACGCGCTTGGTGTGCTGGAAGTCGCGGAGCCGCTCTCGGGGCGGCGCGGCGCTGAGCCAGGCGGCCAGCAGCCTGCCCTCCGCCGCCACCGGACCGGGCACGGCGCCGCCACCGCCGCCACCACCGCCACCGCCACCACCGCCACCGCCACCGCCACCGCCAGCCACATCGCCCAGCAGCCCGTCCCCCGCCGCCGCCGGCATCCCCCGGCCGTGCAGCCGCCCGGCAGCAAAGTTGCTCGGCGGAGGGCGCCGAGGGGAGGAGCGGGGCGAGGGGGGGGCCCCTTGCTGCCGCCCCTCTGCCTGGGGACGGCGCCTCCCTCTGCCTCCGCCTCCTCCTCCTCCTCCTCCTCCTCTTTCTCTTCCTCCTCCTGCTGCTGCCGCCGCTTTGGACCGCCGCTAATTTCATCCCGCTTGCACGGCCCCGCAGCCCTGCCCCGGGGGCTGGGGGCTCGCTGCCCGCCCTGCCCCCATCCGGATGGGGTCCCCCGATCCTCTGCCACCCCGCCTGCTCCCCTCCCACCCTCCTGCCTGCTCGCAGCCTCCACCCTCACACCCCAAGGACTTCCAGCTGCCTGCAGCGGGCTGTGGGAGGGCAAGCGGGGCGCCCTGCCCGCAGCACCCCCCGTGAGGATGCTGCTGGACCTGCCCGCGGCGAAAACCCCGCTGGCGGCTCGCAGGGCTGCTTTCCCGCTAGGGGGCTTGCTCTCCCGTGCCACCTCTTTTTTATTATTATTATTATTATTTTTCTTAGGCTCTTCTTTCACTCGTTAAAAAGCGTCGAAGCGGTTTTACGCCGTGCCGCCTCCGCTGCACGCTGCTTGAGCCGAAGCCCTCTGCTCCCTGCCTCCCGAGGAGCCCAACCGCAGCGCTAATAGGATTTTGGCTGGCACAGGTGTTGATGAGCCAGTGTGCTCCTCTCACACCAGCTTTCGTTGACAAGGCTACGCTGGTAAAACTTCCTGATTTAAGCCAGAGCTGAGAAACATCATCATTTTACCCTCCCGACTGTAGCGAATGACAACTGGGAGCCTCCTGTGTAAGTCCAGGCTTCGAAGTATTCGGGACAAAAGCACAGCCAGGGCTGCCTTCAGGCAAGGAAAAGTGTAGGGAAAGAGAACCAGGGAGGCAGACTCACTCTAAACCCTTCTGGAGCTCAGCTGGCTACCTTCCCCTACCCCACTTTCACTCTAAAACTTCTATCAAAGCCTCCAAAATCGATTCCCTGTAGCTACGTGCAGCCATAGTTCCACTTCTGGGCTGCTGGCTGCTGTGCCAGCGCGATGCTCCCAGCAGCTGGGGTCCCCTCGGACGCCACGACATCCCTAGTTTTACCCTCGGCCAAATTTCGCGCCATTATCAGCCTGTCCCAACCCCGCCGAATGAGCCAGGGCTGGTAAATGTGTCTCCCGCCAATTGTGAGCAGTCCAGGAAATAGCTTTGTTGAGGCTGCCTGAATCAAAGCTGGAAGCGGGGAGGTGCCCGGGGCGCCCCGCTGTTCGCAGGGAAGGTGACCCCAGCCTTCCATAGGTTGCCAGTGGTGTGTGCGAGCTTTTTAACAACATGGATTTATGGGGGGGAAAAGTTGCACTGCAGAACTGGAAGGGGAAAAATCGTTCCGTGCATACCATCCTCAGTATGCATGGAATGGGGGCACAGCACTGCCACCGTGTCCTCCTGGGTTAGGGACACCATGTGCCCCAAGGCATCGCCTTCAGCGCCTGCATTCCTGCTGGTGCCACCCAGGACAAAGCTCACCCTGACACCTGTGGGGCTCTGGCACCTGCTGAGTGGGTCCTGAGCTTGCATGAAGCTGTATGCTGAAAGACAGACAGACAGGCAGGCAGGCAGGCAGAGGTGCATGCCCTTGTTTAGGCTCACGGCTCCCACTCAGCTAACAGAAAGGTGGTCTGGGGCCACCGTGAAGGTTAAACAGATGTTAACAGTAGGCTATGTTATTTTCAGTCAAACACCTAAAAATCAGCCTCTTTTAAAAATTAAACAAGCAAGAAGTGGCCATTACAGAAAATGTTAGTGGAGCTCCAAAAGAACCCAGTGAATTTTTATTTTTTTTTAATTTGCTCAACTTGAGGATGTAATGAGTTGACAGTGCCCTTTTAAACAGGCGAGACTGCTCCCTTCTCACGATTTCTATCCTGTCCAGCTGTGCCCATCAGGGTGCAGTCTGGATGGAAGGGGGATCAAAGGCTGCATTCATTTCTGTCCATGCTTTAATTTAAATTTAACTCCAGTGTGCTTTATTTTGAGCCGCAGTCCTGACATTTTCTGATTAACTGTTGAAATTACTAATGAATTAAAGGCAGTAGTCTGTCTTCAGGTTGCAAAAGCTGTAATAACAAGCTACTAAAAATAATTTAAAGCTTGATTTAAATCTGTGAAAGCAAAGAAGTTCAGAGTTACCCTGACAGTATTGTCCTTGGCCGTCTGCACCATTCCAAAATACCGTAGTGAAGTGCATTGTCGGTGGGCAGACGGGGAGTTTTGCAGCCCCGAGGAAGGCTGAGGCCCCTGTGCACCATCCCAGGTGCCAAGGGCTGTGTCCTTCCTGGGGTCAAGCTCCATGGCTGCGTTCCCAGGCTCTGCTGCCACGCCGGGGGAGGATGCGGCTGGGGACAGAGCTGTAAAGAGCTGGTCCAGCAGCAGAACGAAGGAAATGCTTGTGACCCTGAGAGCCCATCAGCAGAAAGGCTCGTCTCACCTTGCTGGTGCCTCCTCTGGTGCAGCTGCCAGTGGCAGCTTGCCAAATGCTCCTTGCAGGAGCACGGGACCGTCGCCGGGGATGCTTGAATTCTCCTTACGCCTCACCTGCGCGTGCGATCCATATTAATTGCTTTCTGGAGTGGTCTGAGGTCCTTGAGCAAAGGAAGGAAGAAACTGCGTCTCTTTTCAACAGCACAGGCCACCGAGGACCTTCTACGTTTACTGGCACAGTAAAAGTCTGCAGCAGCAGATGATGCACCCGATACAGGCAGGGTGCCCGTCCCCCTGCACGTGGCAGTGCGGACAGCAGTGAAGGACACGGCTCTTCCAGCACAGCAGTGATGGCCAGGATCAACTAATAACATCATGACTTCTCTTCCTATGGGTGAATGCTGCAGATACCGTCTGGCTGATCTTCACAGTCATATTCCTAAATCCTTGGGGTCTTGTAATCGTAGAGAAAGATTACTTCACCTTGCAGCAGCAGCAGGAAGGGGACTTTCACAGTTAAGCTTTCGTAAGCTTAAAGCTTGTGTTTGAGAAATATTGAACAACGTTTGTCCTCAAAAATATTCGGGACGAATATAGGTGCAAAAGTGCTTGAGTCAGTAAGCGTTGAAACTATTTGCTGACTTTTACACAAACGTGTTGGCAATGGGTTTATCTGCTGCTGTCTCGCTGAGCTCTGATCTAGCTTCCCCTGTGCTCCCACTGAAATCTCCAGCTTGCTCCCTGCCCTGCAGCTTCTTTAATGTAGCTCTGTGCAGCTGATGTAAGAGTCAAGAGTGTGTGATGACTGGGAGGTATCATGAAAGAAATTGAATTTAATATCAAAGTAAGCAGCAGGGGGTAGCTGTGTTGATGTTGTTATTCTTTTCCATATTCCACTAATTAAGAAGTTCCATTTTTGAACTTAAATTGCTGTGAAACCCGTCTTGCAGTGCACAGTGTCAAAATTTAGCACCTCGAATTTAAGCTCCATTTACATGTGAGGGAACACAAGAGCATTGCTTAATTATGCCTATTGGAAATCCTTATATTTGAAAAAGCCTTTGGATGTCAGTGATGGAAGACACGTAAAAGACAAGGAAATCAGACTTTTGTAAATCTCTGGAATTAGTGTATCTTTTCATTCTGCAGTTCTCCTGAAGTTCTCTGTGGTAATTTTTTCGATAACGGTAGGGAAAAAATATGTCACTCAAATCTGGACTGTCAATACCACAACCTAGACCACCACATGTATGTGAAATTTAAAAATAAGTATGGCCAAATTCAGCTTAAGGGTCTTGCAATGCAATGGCCTTGAAGACGAGGAGGGCTTGCAGAAAAAGGTGCGAGGTATTACAAATGCTGTCAAAGCCCCCACAATGGACTGCCAGGTCAGTCCCTGGTGTCATGTTGGGGCACTGTTAATGTGCTCTCAAATAAATTGAAATGAGCTTGTAGTTAAAATGAAGCTTTAGATTTGAGTAGGGACTGACGCTAGTCCAAATGATCCCTATAAATGGTAAATGCGATGCTAGACAGCATTGAAGTAAGTAACCTACCATGAAGGAAATTCAGAATTAAGATGCCCTCAAGCCATGAGGTTGCATCTCCTTCTTCTCCTTTTCCTTGGCAATAAATCAGAAAATGTGCCAGTGCTGCAGAGCGTGATTTAGGACTGGCGATTTTCCCATTGTTGCTGCAGGCTGAGCACCATCAGCCCATGGCTGCTGTGTGCTCGCACCTACAGTAATCACTGATTTGGGTGTTGAAGCAAGTCAGCTATTTAAATGCTTTCTTGCAAGACAAGTTCCAAGCACCTTGTTTACATCAGTGCTAAAATGTGAACAAACCAGTGACTCACTTCTGAACTAAGATTTCCATGTTTTGTTTAAGCCTGAAAGAATTTTGTATGACTGAATGCATTGTTGGAAAGCACAGTTTTACAGTGGTGAAAGTACATGTTACACTATCACAAAACTATTAGGGATACGTACTCTGTACATATGGGCTATGGGAGGGCTTGAGGGCTCAGGGACAGGATCCGAGGTGCTCAGGTCCAACTGGTGTTTGCCTCTGCTTGTCCTCCCTTACCCCTGCCACAGGCTTTGCCTCCGATTTCTCCACAGACAGGGGCAACAAGCTGCCTATACCTATATGGAGCCAGGTGTGTGCAGGGGGCAGCTTTGCTGTGCTCCTTCCTTTCAGGGAGGTACAGAGCACCGTGTTAAAGCCGGGATTTCATGCAGAGCAACTCTGCACTTCTCAGCTGTGGCCAACTTCCTCAGTTCCTAATAGATGTAGGTTCCCATAGGTTCACGATCTACTAGTTATACAGCTCATGAACTACACAAGAATTCATCTCTGACATACAGAAGGAGTGACGCACCTCCCTGATGGCACAGTGAGTCACGGAAAAACAAACAAAGTTTATCCAGTCACCGTTCTAACTGCTGGTCATGCAAATCCCATCATAAAACTGATATAAATACAAATCTTGTGGGTATAGTTGGTGTTAATTAGAATTTGGGAAGCCTTACATATTTAATCAGATTAAAAACCTTGACATGAATGCTGTCTTGTATTCAGCTATGAAATTTCATCTTGGTGCACTGAAACTGAAAATACTAATTTTCCAAGTGCCTTCCACTATATTCAGATAGACTTCCTGCATGATTACTGCAAACCTCACCTGCATGTCATGGTTAACTAGCTGCAGTCATGATGCTCTATATGCCACTTTCCTAATTTGAAACCACACCAAAAATTCAAAGCTGGGAATTCCAGATATGAAGTGTGCATTTTTTTTAAAAGGTGAATACTTTGACACACCTTCAAGACTTGGCACAGTCCTGAAACATTTCCAAAGTGATATTAGCTTAGTAATAAATAAAGAAAAAAAAATTAAATGTGAATCCTCTTTGAGTGATTTTACTGAAATGGGACTTGGAATCTGAAATTTCTAACAATTCCCAATTAGCATAATAATCTATGTGTTTATCTTTAATTCGCAAAATTAGTTTATTTATAAGATTCATGTTTTGGTAGGACAGTTCATGCAGGAAAGAAGGAGAAGACCTGGCTTTTGGTCCTTGCTTTAGAGTTTTGCCAGCAGTGAAAGGCTGCAGCAGGTGTAGAGGATAAGCAGTGGAAGCAGAAACAGCATAAGGATGGACCTGACGATGCTGCACAGGAAGAAAAAGGCCAAAGCACAGGTGAATGGAGGTAAAACTTGGAGGAGCACATCTGATTTCGAGTAGAAACATAGTTATAGTAGAAACATAGTTATATAGTAGAAACATAGTTATAGAGCATCAGCGACTCTACAAGAGCTTTTAGGTTGGAACTATGGTACTTGTGGCCTAGGGTACTTTCTAACATGTTTTGACACTTTCTGATTCCCCCCTGGTTTTATGTCTATGACAAAAGCCTGAAGGAATTAATCAGTACCTGTTTACCACCCTCCATTTAGTTCATAGGTATTTCAGTCAACAGGTAACCCAGCTGGATGCCAGGCTTGCAGTACTTTCCTTTGCGTGCTTAAAAGAAGGACCAATCAGAGTGAACTCAAAAAAGGAGAAGAAATACATTTCTTTCTTTGTTACCTTGAAATTCTTTAAGTTTTAATAAGGGCTTTGTGTCACACAAGCTTCTTCTGTTCAATGATTCAGTGTTGGTTTAATCCTGAGCATATAATGTGTGCCAGTCTGTTGTTATAGAAGTGTCTGTGATGTGATTTCTTTGCAGGACCGAGGCAGAAGAGCCAAGGAGAGATCACGCTCTTGGTCGGGTGTAAAGAACCCTAGTGGCACAGGCAGCAAAAGGGGGTCCTTTCAGTGAATTTCTTTACTATAAAATGCCTGTAAGGTTAAATTATTTTGTTTAATTTCCCTGCAGTTGTTAACTTTCAGATAGTCTGCATGCATGCAGATTGTTTAAAAAACAGACACGTAGCGTGCTGGCCACTGTTCTTCTCGCACAGACTCCCACGGGACATGTTAACCATAAGCCTCGCTGCCAGACCCTCCGGCACAGATCTGAGCAAACAGATGGGCCTTACATCGTGCCCTGAAAGTCAGCGGACTTTGGCTCTGCTAGGCCACTGGGAGAAGTAAATTCCTGAGCTGAGCATGTTTCACAAGGAAAGCAGAGCTTACACTCTCCAGATGTGCAGATTCAGGGTGTGCCGGCGAGAGTGCTCTGGCTGCTCTCAGCTGTCAAGATAGCGCTCGGAAGAGGAGAGGAGGAAATTCCTCGGGCAGCCCCAGTCCCAACCACACAGCTTCACTGGTCCAAAGGGGTCGTTGCAAATCCACAGCCCCAGGATCGGTGCAGGAAGCAAAGATTGGAAACAAACAGAGCATGCAGACAGTGTTTATTTAACACGGGACGCTGCTCTTGATAACGCAGTTCATGCATGATATTCTAGTGCAACTTTTTTCTAAATGGTCCAAAGTTTTCCTGCACTACATACCTATTCTTTGTTAGCCTGCTTCTTTTGCTCTTCCTTAGCAAAGTCTGGGGACTTTGTACAAAGCCCTCCTTCCAAGGCTCGCTTGCATCCCACTCACATTTCAGCCCACAGATGAATCTCCACCGTGCCCTCTGCACACACAAAAGGGATGCTTGCTCCATTTATTTTCAGCTTATTGCTTCTCCCTTACATGACTTTCAGTCCAGAAGTGCTAGCAACAACCTACTGCATTGTTTCTGCACGAAGATCCTGAATCTACAGGCTCAAAGCAGCCTCCCAGCACTGCCAGCTCACCTCCTCGGCCAGCTCGCCTGCACTAAGCTGGGCATCTAAAAACCATTACTCAGGCCTCCAAAAGTAATGAAACTGTCCTGAAAGTAAGTGCTAGCTCTTTACATTCTCCCTTCTTGGTTTCTGGCTCTTTAGGTTAGTGCTGTGTAGGACATTTAGTCTAGCCCTGAACATATGTGCTCCTTCAACCGTTTGTTTACACGGGTAGTCCATATTCATATGAACACTCCTGTTTAACAAAATCATACTAGTCCTTATCAGGAAGTTTTACAAATTAGGTCCTAAATATGTGTGGGATGATCAAATCCATTTTGCTTATAAAAAGAGTTACTCACTTTTTTTTTTTCCTTTTTCTGTAGAGAATTTTCAGTGAGCATGTCCTTGCAAGTAACTCAATGGAAAACTGGAAGCAAATAAAGTCCTTACATTTTTACAGGTAGACTTTCTAGAGATATTAAGAAAAGAAAAAAAAAAAAAAAAAAAAAAAAAAAGCTATGGGTTCGTGCATTTACGTGATTGCAGCACCACTCAAAGATGTGTTTGAATATGCCAGGATATCAGGCTGACTATTACAAAACGCAGTAGATTATTCATTTCTGCACCTGTTTCTATAGCAAACACTTTTTCTCTTGAATCAGCACTCGGTTATCCACCTGGCTGAGGAACACTATGTATCATGAAAGATTTGGCACAGAAGAGGAATTGCACATGAAAGCTTTGGCTTTGGTATCATTCAGACCCTGCCACTCCTTGTTTGCTCTTAACTTGAATGACCAACAGAGAGAAGGTGACTCAGGCCCTAGGTGGGTATTTCTGCTTATCAAAAATATCATCTTAGTCTATTTAAAGTGTGGCCCATAACTGCATACACAAAGGAAAAAGAAGGAGGAGGAAAGAAAAAATGTTAAATTATCAGAATATCCTGCACTCATGTAACCCCATCTGGAAAACCACATCTGGTTCTGTTCTCCACAACTCAAGAAGTGGGCAGACCGAAGAAAATTCTGAAAAGAACCATGAGAATGATTAAAGACCTAAATAATACACTTCACAGTGGAAGAACTCAGTCCTTCTAGCCTAGCAGAGGGAGATGACGACTGTAGTCTCTATTGCTCAGAAGTATGAATGCACACTCACAGACAAAGCTATAATGAGATCCAGCGGTTAAGAGCTGAATCTAGACAAATTCAAGCTATACAACAAGACACACATTTTTAACAGTAAGGGTAATTAACCATCACAGCAACCCCGTGAGGTGCTATGGCAAGTTCTCCTTCTTTGGAATTTTTTAAATCAAAATCAGATGCCTTTTTTTTGTTTTTCCTTTTTTCTTTTTTCTTTCTAAAGGCTTTCTATTTCAAGCAGGAAGAAGCCTGATGCTGTGTGTCAAACAGGAAGGAGGGCTAGAGCATCATAGTAGCCCATCTGGCGTTACGAACCACAATTTGGAATTATTCTTTTGTAATGAACAAGATTCTCTGGGAAGAAGCAGAACGAAGATTTGCCATTGGAATTAGAAGTTATGTTGCTGGAAGACTGACAGTGAAAAGGTGAAGCAAAGCACTATTTATAGGCAGAGACGCTATCTTTCATTCAATCCACTGATACAGTTTGATCAGCTTTCACTAGCTTGCCTGGAGTTTCTTCCAGCTATATGCATTCACCTAATAAAATATTTTATTTCCTGACAAACCCAGCTTCACTTATCATGGAAAATGATTGAAGATCTAGTCACAAGATTGTCAGCATGAAATTCAAAGGGAGAGAGAAGCAGATTTACAATGAAGATGAGAAACAGCTGTAAGACATGGAAAGGACAAAATGGATAAATCTGTGTTTATGCAAAGAATCCAGTGGCATATTTATATACCTACTGATTAGGTACACGGTCAAAAGCCAGAAATTCTGGGTTTCTACATTGCAACGGTGCTGAGCTCCTGAGCATGCATGGAATTTGGCACAAAAGTTTAGAAAAGTGAAATGGCTCATTTGTTTCGTCTTCCTTTCAATCAGGGATATACGTTTCATTTATGGAAAAAACAAACAAACAAACAAAACAAACAAAAAACTCTAATCTCTAAAGACCTTGTGCCCCTCTTCTTTCCCTCACGTGCATTTTACAGCATTACAGGGGGCCTGACAAATCAGCTGGAACATCTGCTCCCCCTCTCGGTCATGGAATTGAAATCCCACATATCCTTAGACGCAGTGGTTTCAAACCATCCGGGCATGGCAAAGTGTTAGATGCATGCGCAGCAACGGGATAAATAATTTACAGACAACTACATATGGCTACGTATAATATAAAGCACATCCTATTTTTTCGATCCATACCCGCATTGTATTGTGCAAAACCCCCAACTCTTCAGAACCGAGAATATCACAGCTTAAAATTACTGCTGTCGTAAGAACCATCAGTAACAAGCTTGATTTTGCAGAAATGTTCAATTGCAGGACCAGGAAACCTTGAGCTGCCTTCTATCCCCTAAAAAGACCTGAGATGGAGCAGGAAAACTGAGTGTTGAGCACCCAGGGTGCTGTAAGCTTGTTTCTGATGGCAATAATCCTGCAAGCCCCTCATAGAAACAGTTTTACTGTGCCAGACAGTCAAGTGAGCATGAAAACCCAATCGACTGACAGACAGTGAAGATTATGTACCAAGAGGATTACAATGAAATACCTAGTTATTAAGTGCACTGCAGAGTTCTGAATCACTTACAGTTATGATATAAGACACATGCTCCTAATGTGGAGAGCCTGACTGCTAGAACACAGCAATATAGGATAAAAAAATAAGACAGCTGAAAAGAAATAGGTCTTCATCTTCAGAGTAAGCAGTTTTATGTGGATCAAAGACGCACACAAATATATTAAAAGCATGATATTCAAAATGAGTCCATTGTTACAAAAGTTTATTTCTAGAAGCTACCCTACTGATAGAGTAGGATAATATACATATATATGTTTATACATATATACATAAGGATGAGTACTTGAGGGAGTTAAAGGTTTGGGCTCTCAGTAGCCAACCAGTTAAGCAGTAAGGAGGGATATAAACAAGTCATCCTCTGACTAGAGCAAAGCCTGATTTCACAAAAAATACTCAAAATAAACAAAAATGCGTACGAAAAGCATAATGACATGAGCTTCAGATTCTTGGTATTCTAAATAAAATGCTAGCAAATGTCATGCTCATTCAAAGCTTAACACGCGCATCTTCACCATACATGCAAAATGTATCTCATTTCCAGTTGGTTGGTTTCCAAATAGCGTTAATAGCAAAAATACAGAATGGTTTTAAGAATCTTTCCAAATGTCAGAAATAATTACTTCTGAAGTATGCTTCAATCACTACATTCAAGTAAAATATCTAAATAAAAATCTTATTTAGAACCACATGTATTCAATATTAACGTTTCCAGATCTGTAAGCTTGTGGCAAGATATTTTTACAAAGTTATATTTTTACAGCATACCTCATATTTGTAGATAAAGATTAATCACAGGAAAACAGAATAAAGTAACTAATATATCAGAAAATGTTTGCAACGTACATGTCTCACCACACAAAAAGCCCCAGCCATATAATCATTAGGAAAATGATGCACGCATGATACATGCATGCAGGACAAGGATCACACTTATGAAGGCAGTGTGGTTACAATTAAGTTATCAGGAGAGTTTTTGCAAGTATACTAAAATTAAAAGACAGAAGTTATCAATTTATTCTGGTTTAACTTTAGGATAAAATATGTATAATAACTACATATCATACTTCTATTTATACACCCACTTACATGGTACGTCAACAGAAAGTACTGCAGTGATCTTGAGTAAATAACTCACTTCAGATAACGTACTACGAATCTCCTTATAGAAACTCCTTAGTTGCACTATAGAGTACAAAGGACACATCTATAAGTACAAGGATGTCAGGTGTGGCCACCTGAAAATAAAAGAGTTACAAGCCAGAGCTTGCTCGAACATACAGGCTAAATGCTTTGAAGGCCTGTGGCAATGCCAGGAAGGGCATGCAGTGGGCCTGCAGGGCAGCCAGTGTGTCCTGTTTGTGTCAGTACTCAACTTTTACACACTCTCTACCAAATTACACGCTGTAACTCATTTCAATCAGTATCAGAGGCAAGACCTAGGCAAGGAGGAGGAGGCTGTTTGTTGATGGTCACATCACCAGCTCTGGGTGGCATTAATTTCTGCATGTTAATATCATCCAAAGAAAGGGTCATGCAAATTGCTATTAGTGTTTCATCGCCTAGCAACAGCAGAGGAGAGAAACCGAAGTATTGCCAGACTATGGAGTTACAGCAAGCTCTCCCAAGGCAAAATATTGCAAATATATAATGAGTCTGCAGAGTATCAGGACAAAATAGAGTAGTACTGCTCTTTTTAACAGGAAATTCAAAACAAAGATTCTGAAAAACCCCAACGACTTCATTTCCCTGAGTTGCAGGAAAGCTTGGGGCTCAAAACCTATACTGACTGTATCAAAGCTGAGAGGGGCCTGCTTCTTTGCTTTATAGTCAGCCTCACTGCTTGCATGGTAGATGCATATCCCTACAAATAGAAAATGCAGGTTAGAATGAATGGCTCAAGGAAGAAGAAATCAACTATTTAATCTTCAGCTTCCCAGACCACAATTATTGAATAAACCAGGCCAGTTCTGTACACCTCAGCCACTCAGGAATACCACAAGACTATCCAGGGC